TCAAAGATACACTTTACCTATATTAAGAAAATTGTGATGTGGGATAGCAGAAGATTCAACAAAATTACTTTCGATGTTCTTTTGGATCATTCTTTGAAGGAACACACTAGAACTTACACACACACACACACTGATATATAAAAGGAATTACAATATATACTGGCCTGTTGCTCTAACTGGCGGCACCGGTCTTCAAGTCTTCTTATTGTTGCTTGTTGATTTTTCAGATGAGTTGCCTCCATGCGAAATTCTTCAAGTTCAACCTTCATTTTTCGGTTCTCAGACTCTAATTCTGATAGTTTTGAATCCTTCTCCTGCACAGTGATAAGGACAATCAGATACGAAAAATGAACCTAAAAGGGAATAGGAAAAGAAAATATCCCAATATTCTAGATATGATTTGGACCTGAAATCGATTCCAGAGCTCTAGTGGAACCTCAGCAATATGCTTTGAACAACATCCTGAAAATTCTCTATATTGATATAGTTTCTCATCATCTAGGCCCTTAACCCCTTTCATATCCGAAAATGTTTCGTATAAAACTTCATATGAGTCATGAAAGATCTTATCCAATATACAACGCTTAACCTAAGTCCCTTTTGCTTTTCCCGGCCTATCCTAGGCAAAAGTAATTCAGAAATGTGACTTCACAGTCAAGGCCTTATCCCCTCCACTGCCTATCCATGCATGTTATCGGCGGACATTTCCATCCTCTTCCATTAGGTCAGCCATAACACATTCAAAGAAGCAAGTTTCTCAGATACAAGACATTCAAATACAACTAGCTTCTTTTTCCTCTCTATGTTACTCATCTAATGTCATTTTTACTTGGCATATTACAATTGCACCATAACTGGCTGGATAGGTCTTCATACCAATATGACATGAAGAGTTTAGGTGCGAACAGCCATCATGCATGATACATCAAGGTTAAATACAGCAGAAAAGAGCATATTTCATCCAGGTGTTCATCTGTCTCACAAGTTGGAATCGCAATGGAGTGCCACTGTAAATTGCTAAACTCCTAGTTGGCTGTGTAAGCCTCCTTTGGTAGTGACAATCATAAGAAAGAAATGATAAAACATGGAGTAGAACCTCCTAACCGTCTTAAATTGCTTTCTTACCCTAACCATCTTATTGTGGAAGGCAGTTATTATGTAGTTTTCATCCTCCTAAACTGAATAATTCACTACCTCATTTCCCTTACAATTAACAACTGATGTCTAAATAATTTCAAGCTTTTCTACTGTTAATCAGCAAAATACTTCAGCGTTCCTAGACCCTAGTCCATGTGGACTACAATTTGATGCCATAGCCCAAGTTCATGTAGTGTGGAAAATTGCAGACTTTCTTTGCATAAGGTGAATATGAACAGGAATTATAATAATTCCTTGTTAATTGCACTAATAGTAGTTAATTTCATTAGAATGGTAAATGCATTAGGAACCATAATTTGAAATCTTGAGAAGACAGCATTATGGACCAGTAATGCAGTTACTCTACAACTCTATGAGAAATGTAATCATATGAAAGGCCAAACTTGAACTTACAGCAATTGAAGCAATGACCGGATAAGGATCTGGGGCCTCATATAATTTCTGGTAAATGTTAAGAAAAGCATTTTCCCCGTACTTGGCTCTCTTGGTGAGATTGTCAACCTCTTCTTGGTATCCCTTGAGCAAAGAGTTGAACAAGCTCAACTTGTCTTCATTTGAAGCTTTTTTAAAATCTGCCAAGAGGTGGTAGAAAGAGCTTAAATAAATGGTTAAATAAAAGTCGAAGTAATGGTAAATGACGACAAATGGTAGTTAAATAAGTGAATGGAAATGTGCATCTAGCACCTCGAGTGCTCTCTGCAAGTTTACGTCGGTTCTTCTGACTGTTCTCCTGATTTTCAGCTATCCTAAGACCTTGTTCATCCAGTGTGCTCCTTTCTTTCTCCAAATCAAAGTCTGTAAAAAAAAAAACAAGCAGATGCGTTTTAAAATGTGCATAAGAAGTTAGCTTTTCTTAGACAAGACTAAAGAGTAAAGATATCATGGGATATTGGGATGAATAAATCTATCAACAAACCAAGTCTTTTATACAAGTAAAGTTCTAGGCTAGCAACACAACTGTAAAGGATTAAGTCAATAAGAATTCATGACAAATGTATCACAAATAAAATTAAAAGGTCACAAAGAGCCACGTAAGCAGATTGAGCTGTATTCTCCATTGCCCCACAGTTTTACCTCATCTCATCCAAACGGAAAAATCTAAATTAGTGAGTATACTGTCAGAGGCAGGTGTTATTCATGATCAATCAGGCCATCAAGACTCAACGGAAACACATCAGCAAAGCCAACCAGCAAATTGAAGACATTGTAAACACAGCCATGCAGTTTCCTTGCATTCTAAAGCTTATACATCGGAAAAAGGAGCCAGCTACTTCACTGATACTTGTCTTAAAAGACTGGGAGAGTTTTCATTTAATTGGGTTTTTATTAAGCGGCATTTTTTTAATAACAGTACTGTTTGGGCCAGCTTGCGCGCTCCTTGACTATTCCACCGAGTACTTGCTACCTCCCACTGGCACAGGTACCGGGTAATTCTGCCCACCAAGGCTTGGACATATGAGAAGAAATCACCTAATTTCTTTTGCCTATTGACCACTAGACTACATCCTTGGTGTAAAGAAAAGGAAAATAAAGGTTACACCAGCCGGCATTAAGCTGGTATATTCAAGTAGTCTACTAAAAGGTTTATAATCATATTGGCAACAAAAATATTTGAGGCTCATATTGTACTTCGTGGTCTTCTTGTGTGTTTTGCATCTCAAATTATATGCCACTTCATATAAATTAATACGACAGAAACTGCTACTCTTGGTTGTAATCATGAATCAAAGACCTCCCATCGGTTCTCATATTGGTTCTTTCAAATGTTAAAAGTGAAATACAGCAAAGAAAATAATCTCAAACTGCTAAACGGAACGTGTTAATTAGATTGCAAGTGTTAATTACTATTCTATTACCTCAGAATGCAAAAATAAACTTAAAGTTTAACATCACAACTAAACACGACGATATCAAAACTGGCTATACAAATCCAAAACTATTACCGTCCAGTGTCTTTTTTCTCCTTTTTCATTTTGTTCTCTTTTTCATTTGACATTTCATGCAAGCGACAATGAGTAACCGGTGCCTTAAGCGATATTTTCTAATTAATATAACGTTGATGATAATGAGCAGCAAAAACGGATAACCGGAGATATGCAATTTGTAGAAAAAACGTAAGATTAGGATTTGATAATTACAGTAAAAAAGAGAGTACCTTTCCAGAAGCTGGCGACAGCATCAAGAGGAGTAGAAGAAGACGTAGAGTTCCCCTTCTCTCTCTCCGGTCCTACTCGCGGGGAATCCATAGCTGATCCGCCACAAATTCAGCTTTTCTGCTCTGAACAAAAACTTCAATCTTCTCTTCAAATGCGGAGAAAATGTTATGAAATGCTAGTTCTACTAGTTTTTTGATAGATCACAGATCTCGAGCTTTCATAATCTGTGGTTCCTTCAGAATTAATTTTGTTGTATAACGAGAGGGAGACAGGAGTTCAATGGAGAAACGGGTCGGGATCACCCACATTTGTCATTCGGGTCTTTTTGCCACGCCCTTTTAAATTGAAAAAAAAATTATGGGAATTAAAATAACATTGAATAATTTAATTTTGAAAAAAAGAAAGAAAAATAAAGAACATTGAATAATTTACTAACTCTTGTACCGTTCGGGAATCATTTGGGTCACATATTAGTTAGGAAGACAATTTTTCTATAGTAATAATTATGTAAGAATTATTATGCGGTGAATAAGAATTATTACACAGTAAATTATATAAAATTTATGATATTTTATCTTTAAATACTAGTGTTACCCAAACATTGCTACAAATATAATGCATAAATTATATACTCTTTAACAAGATATGTCATAATATAAATAATATTTTTTTCTTAAGCATCAATCAAGAACTTATAATTTTATAATAGAATTATATTTGATAATGAAACCACACAACATCTAAAAAAATAACAAGATATTACTTAGATACAAACTCATATGACAATTTAGGCCTAGAATTTTAACTGGACTATTAAATGTCAAATTTATTCTTGCGAATAATCTATATTTACTCTTTAACTAGTGTTGTTAGCTCATAAGGGCAAAATCAAAAAAGATATGGGAATTAAAATAATATTGAATAGTTTAATTTGAAAAAAGAAAAGAAAAAAAAGAACATAGAATAATTTACTAACTCTTGTACCACTCAGGAATTATTCGGGTCATATATTAGCTAGGAAGACAAATTTTCTATCTTAATAATTATGTAAGAATTATTATGCAGTGAATAAGAATTATTACGCAGTGAATTATATACAATCTATGGTATTTTGCCATGAAATACTAGTGTTATCCAATCATTGCTACAAACATAATGCATAAATTATATACTTGCTAGCAAGATATATCATAATATAAATAATTTTTTTCTTAAGCATCAATCAAGAACTTAATAATTTTATAATAGAATTATATTTGATAATGAAACCACACAATATCTAATAAAATAACAACATATCACTCAGATACAAACTCAGATGACAATTTTAACTAGAATATAAAATAGTCGAATTTATTTTTAAACTATACGAATAATCTATATTTGCTCTTTAACTATTGTTGTTAGCTCATAAGGGCAAAATCAAGAAACTGTAAGGGTATAAACGAGACATTTCTTTTAGCAATGACAAAATAATTCCATTCACATAATTAAGAATATTTTTGGCCCTTTACGCAGAATTAAAAGAATAAAATTATTATGAAAAAAACAATATTCATTTATAAATAAAAGAATTTTTCGCTTTTTGATTAATAAAACCTTTTACCAAAAAATGACTATATATTAAACTCCATTTGATAAGTGTTAGGGATTGGTGCATACTAGTGTCACTCAAACCGAGTCATTATTCGAAGAAAGTTCTTGGTATCTTCTAATCTTCAACTGCTTCACCTATCATTACTACTACATTATTCTATTCATTGCTATTGACTTTGCTTTCAATATAGAAATCAAGCAGCAGAGAGCAATTCAGCCTATTGACAGTCAATACAAAAATGGAGGACAACACCAATGACTCTCCTCCTGTAAAAGGTGTAGTAATAATCACACTTCCACCTCTTGATAATCCTTCTTTAGGCAAAACCATTACTGCATTTACACTCTCTGATTCACCACCCCAACACCAACAACAACAACAAGAACCACCACAACAAAGTCAATCTTCAGTTCCACAACAAGATTCAAACACTGGTTTTTTTCATGTTTCTTTACAAAGATCGTTCCTTTTTCGCCCAAGAATCGTTCTTGGAATTCTGGGTATTTCTATAATTGCTTTATCATTCTGGTCTTCACTTTCACAAGAGACCCTTTTTGAATTAAGAGATGTGGACCGTGATGATCATAATAGTTCCAACAGTTCTTTTATTCTTCCTTTGTATCCTAAGCGTGGTAGTATTTGGAATTCAAGGACAGATGTTGAGTTCAAACTTGGGAGGTTTGTGGATTTTAAACCTGATATTGTTATGGAGCTGGTCAATGATCAAGAAAAGATTGCTAAGTCTGTGTCTGCTGCTACTAAATTAGACTCTTCTGCTAATTTTCCTGTCAAGGGTAATATTCATTCGGATGGGTACGTCTGATTGAAGTATATTTGATTCTGCTTTTAACTTGTTCCTATATTTTATTTCATGATAATTTCTGTAATCGTTAACTATTCCTCAATCTCAAACTAATTGGGGGTGTCTTATGTGAATTTTCTATATCCATTCCATTCTATTCAGGTCCTTTACTTATTTAGAGGAATATCACACAATTTGGCTATATTTAACTTGTTGTCAATTTTATGATAATTTGTGAACAAGTCAAAGAGTTAAAGGGTTTACTGGCAGAATTATATCTGAGGGAATTGCATATAAGGGAGAATTGTTGTCTAGTCACCTCGTATCATGGCATCGATACAATGACCAAGTCAAATTATTGTAGTCGACAAGGACTTGTAGAACGTGATGATAGGAATCTCAATAGGTGACAATATGATCATATAAGCTGCTGTTGTTCTTTCCACTTCATAGTTAGAGGTTCTCACATTTTCCTAATAATCCTATGTTGGCATTTTCTTCTAGGGAAAAATTGGCTGCAACCAATGACGAATACTAGCTTTAAAACTTTATGATTCCATGTAGAGAATTATCAGACATTTGAAAAAGCAACTGCTGATTTCATTTTGTATTCACATGTATCTTCATTTCACCTGATAGAACAGCAACCCTTTATCTATAAAGGATCCAAATATTGTGAATCTCCAATGAATAAATGGATTTCATAACAGCCAAAGAACTAATTAATTGGTATTGTTACTATCTAAAGATTCTTTTGTCCATTGTTACATGAAAGCTCACCTTTTATGATGCTTATTTATCGTAACTGCAAAATGCCAGTGGTTTTGGTTGTTTTTAGCTACACTCAGTTAGTCATTCCAGCTATGCAGTAACTAGAGAAGATAAGCACCTTAGTTTGAAATTAAACAAACTGTGCAGATTATTCCATGAAGGTCAGCTTTATAATGATAAGACACTTCACAGTCTAAAGGCTAAACCTTTTTTAACTTGCTCCAACTGTTGCATGCCAAGGAGAACAAGATTGATAATTTGACTCCGCAAAGTTGCCTACAAAATTTTCATCTCAAAATTTAAACTCAGGATGCTGGGTCGCTCTAAAAAAAATAGTAAGTTTTGATTAGTAGTTATCCATACTTTTCCTCTTTGAAATGTCTAGTGGACTCTAAGTGATATATTTGTTGCTATAAACTGTAAGTCATGACTAGTTCAACTGGAATACAATGTTGATTTTAATCATTTCCTATATAGGTTGTACTACACATATATGCTTGTCGGGAATCCTCCTAAGCCTTATTTTCTTGATATCGATACGGGAAGTGACTTGATGTGGATCCAGTGTGATGCTCCATGCACTAGCTGTGCCAAGGTGATGCCTAGACCTTACCAATGTTGTTACTAGCTGCTTCTTCTAGTTCCAACTATCACGCATAACAAGAATGTGCTTGCTATGAACACTACTTGGTAGAGAGATATGGAGAAAAAATTGTTAAAGATGCTTTTATTTGGTAATGACATGTAGTTCCTTATGCTATCGAATTAGTCATGCATCCCCTTCTTTTTTTCCAAGTAACCAGATGAATATTGGTTTAAATTTTAAAATATTCAAATTCAGAAAAAGGTCTAACGTTTTTGTAATTTATATATCCGTTTGATGTCATTAATATTAGTTCAGAAAGGAAGCTCATCGTAAAGGATTATGATATGATAAAATGCATTTGAGTATGTTGTTCTGTTTTTGGTATTGAACTTCTGAGTCCTTAAAGTATGCTTCCCCCTCCCTTTTCTGGGGGTCTAGTCCTTCCATTCCGTTGATGTGCTCCTTTTCAGAAATCATCTGTCTATGTCTTACTTGCGGGCCCTTTGAAAGAGGTCGATGAATGTGGCATGCCTTATAGTGGTAGGTGAGGTGTTGGGCCTCTTCAATCACACTTTCTCCACCACTTGAGTTGCCCAAGCATAGTTAGAAAGTCTGCTCTTTATTTTCAAGCTTGTCATCCTATGCTAGTTTCTAACATAAGAAGCTTTTCCAGGGAGCCCACCCGTTGTACAAGCCCAGAAACGTCAATATGATACCTCCAAAAAACCCCTATTGTGTTGAGGTTCAAGAGAATCTCAGGTCCAAGTATTGTGATAACTGCCATCAATGTGATTATGAGGTAGAATACGCCGACCACAGTTCTTCTGTTGGGGTTCTTGCAAAGGATACACTTCAATTGGTGCTTGCAAATGGGACAGGAACCAAGTCAGATGTTGTTTTCGGGTAAAGTTAATCCTTTACCCTTTACTTTGTGGCCTTACTACTTTTTTTATAAGGTTGTAAGTTTTGGCTTGCCATTTGTCAGCTGTGCATATGATCAGCAAGGCACACTTCTCAACACACTAGCAAACACCGATGGGATCCTTGGACTTAGCAGAGCTCCAATCAGTTTACCTTCTCAGCTAGCAAGCCATGGGTTCATCAACAATGTTATTGGACATTGTCTTGCCGCTGATACAAATGGGGGCTACTTGTTCTTAGGCAATGATTTTGTCCCACATTGGCGGATGTCATGGGTCCCTATGCTGAATGCCCCTTTTCCGTGAGTATTGCTTTTTGGGGTTGCCCTATTTCTTTTTCTATATTATATTTATTCCTCCTTTGGCTTTGCTTATAATCATGGCCCTGTTTGTTTTTTGGTATTTGAGTTGCCTTATCTGTTCCATTTCTTGCTTTTTTGGGTCATATATAAGATAGCCATTTTATATGGCTTGTTCTTTTTTATAAGCTTTAAAGGTTATGAACTGCTCTCTCTGTATATTCTTGCATCATACTCTTGTGCTTTAAGAAGATATGTTACCAATGTCCAAACTATAGAGTGAAACAAAAAAGTAACAGAATTATTTACATATCAACTTCTATCATTTTCTTGCCTCTCCATTTTCCTCATTGATTTCTTCCGTTTCCATAGGTTCTGATAGTTTTTACCCCTGTATGCGTCCTGAGTAATGGTATATTGTCAGGTCCTTATTGCGCCTCATCCTTTCATGTTCAGAAATCTTTATCAAGCAGGATTGATGAAAATGAACTATGGAAGCAAAGAACTCCAATTAGGCAGCACGAGAGATGGAAAAGGAACTGTAGTGTTTGACAGTGGCAGCACTTGCACATATTTCACAAATCAAGCATATAAAGCTTTAAATTCCATGGTAAGTCAGAGCGATTAGTCCATTTCTTTAGAAGATCGTGAATTTCCTTGATGATTACTCACCAACTATTTGCTCCTTTTTCACGATGATTGCAGCTTGAAGAGATTTCTAGTGAGGTTCTTGTCAAAGATGCATCAGACACGACATTACCCATTTGCTGGCGAGCTAAATTTCCAGTAAGGTATAACAATGCAAGATATATATATGCGATTGGCTGCAGGAGTTAACAATTAAAATTTGAAGTTGTAGTTTTTGATAGCGCTTTCCTCTGGTGTGTATTTTTGCTTGCCATTACTGCTCGCAAGAAATTTGATTTCAAGTGATAGCATAGTGATACAGGAAATAATATCAATCTAGAGATCCTCAAATCAGCATGAAACTTACTGCTTCACTTTATGGCGTATGCCACATAGTTTTCTGACATGGGTTCTAAGTGAAAATCATTTTTGCCTGAAGCCAGAGTTACATTTACTAGCCAGCCTCAATCTGCCTACTCTGCTTTGTTCTCGGGAATGTTGATCGAATTCCCTTTTCTCACCATTCCTGTTTCTATTTTCTGATGACTCCTTGCTAATATAATCATTCTTTTCATACTACGCTTGCAGGTCTATTACAGAGGTAAGGCAATTCTTCAAACCACTAAACCTTCAATTTGGAAGCAAGTGGCGTATAGCGTCCACAAAGCTCTCGATTCCTGCGGAGGGGTATTTGACTATTAGTGTGAGTAATCTCTTGCTTTTCTGGGTCAATGGTGCTTTTTCGTCCCCTCCCCCGCCCCTTCCTCTTTTGCTTTCTCTCTCAACCAACAGTGTTGAATTATTATGCTGCAGGAAAAGGGTAATGTGTGTTTAGGTATACTTGACGGAAGCAACATTCATGATGGTTCTGCTATATTACTTGGAGGTACTGTTTCCTAAAACGACAGATTATATAATAGATTTATTAAACTGAATAGAGATGTTCAGAAGTAACTTGTTAGTCAGTTGAGATTGGTGTGTGAGTGTTGTAATGGACTATTCTGGATTTGAGCCATTTAAGTGTTCAGATGGAGACCTATTTCTCTTCACTTGTTAGTTTATAGGTTCTCTTCATAGTAGCACAAACAATGAATCAGATCACAGAAGTCCATAAGCTCTGAACATAGGAAATTTGTGTGTTCTGGTTTGAGTTCAACCATAGTTACTAGTATTTGATTCTTCTACAGTAAACAATTCTGGTACTTCTGTCATCCCTTGCAGATATTTCACTACGTGGTCAATTGTTCGTATATGACAATGTTAACGAGAAGATTGGATGGATAAGATCAAATTGTGAACGGCCACAGAAACTTTTGAGTCTTCCATTTTTTTGACAGAGGACACCACTATAACTCCATTTCTACAGTGATCGCAAACTGTTATTCTTGCTGTTCGATATGTTTGGTGATTGGAAGTTATAACCTTTTAGCTAGGGGAAGAGACTGTATAGAACGGTTCTGCTTTCTGATGTAGCTATGGTCCTAGTGTGTATATCTAATTTTTTGTACCACACTTTGAAGCTTTACTTTTCTCCTTTTGATGCAATGGTAATTAAAATGTGAATTCCTAGAAAAAATTGAACGTTAAATAGAATATATGAGCAATCGAAATTTTTTATTTTGTGTCTCACACAACTGACACTAGTTGTATGAGGCCTCTTTTTTGTCTCACAACTGTGTGGTCCCATCGTTCAAAATTAGGGTCCCACTGACCCTGCTCATGTAAAATAGGGGGTCCTGTACTGTGTACTCCAATTAATCTGCCACGTTAACATCTTAAGACTGCCCCGCTAGAAGTAAGTGGATGTACTTTTATTGATTAATGATGGCTCTGATGACTGGTTTTGCTAGAATAGGCAATAATGAGATCACTGTTTTAGTAAATGATGCGGAGAAGGGTAGTGACATTGATCCACAAGAATCTCAACAAACTCTTGAACTAGCGGAAGCTAATGTGAAAAAGGCTGAAGGAATGAGACAAAAAATTGAGGCAAATCTAGCTCTCCGACGAGCTAGAACACGGGTGGAGGCTATCGATCTGATTTCATAACTAGTTGGTATGTTCGAATAAAAAAATAAAAAAAGTTTTTTTTCTAATCATTTTTAGATTCTGTCGAGTGAATACAATCAAACAGAATCCAATTCTGATGCAAAAATTCAAATTCAAAAATGAAATAAAAAAGATACAAAATCCAAAAATCAATATCACTAACTTGGAAACCACCTTTGTAAATAAAATTGCTAAATTGTGGATAGGAAATACAGCAAATGCCTTGAGTCAACTTTGTGTATAAGACAGGCGAAACTTATGTATAAACTGTGTTCTCTCACTTCACTATTTAATTTTTCCCTGTTAGCCTACTCATGCTCCTGGAGAAGTCATTTCTCAGCAGCTTCAATCAATATTAAACCGCGCTTATCCAGATTCCTCTATACTAAAAATTGATGAATTTTAATCAATGGAGAATTCTATTCAAGGTTTCATACTTATGGCTGTTAAATAGTAGAGATTCTCAAGCAAAGTGCGTGAGAGGTAGAAGCTCTAGTTTTTAAAACCAAGGACCTTGCTTTGTCAGTGAAGTGAAGGCGGATAGTTTTTGCATCTAAAACTTTCAAGAGGAAGGTAACTGCATTTTTCATGAGCAGTTGCATCTAAGTAATGACGGTATAATGAAACATAAGTGCAACAAATGCTGACTGGAACCCCCTCGGTATCTTCTGCTATTTGCCAAGCGTATACTCAATACTGAATATAATCCAAGCATCCAGCTATAAACCAAATGCGATACTTCAGTTTCTAATTAACCCTGAAGGAATCATCACAAATAAGGAAAATTTCAGGAAGAACACTATTCTGGATTTGAGCCATTTAAGTGTGTTCTGATGGAAACCTATTTCTCTTGGTTGCAGAATTTCCACCTATACTGGTTCTAATTCATGAGCAATTTCCTTAACAAACCACCGTCCACCAACACATCCAAAAACCTAAGCTCAACTTCTATTACTCTTTTTATGGCAGGTCCGATGGGAAAATGCTGTCATATCTTATAGTAGTAACTTTCTTAGTCAATGTCCAGAAATGCTTGACAAGAATGATTTGATATCTAAAGACAACAAAAGCTCTTGGACATCTTTGTTCACACTTGACAATGGACAAGGAGAAAACTACTTTGAACTATTCAATTGCCTTTAACTAGATATCATCACTTGGTTGCTTGTAGGGCTTGGTTGGCGAAAAACCGAACATCAACATCTGGATCCTCACTGAGTTCAACCAAACATGGTCGAATTGTTGTCTCCACGACCTGCACATAAGGATTCGTGGTTAATATTACCAGATTTAGCACTCCTTTCTCCAAAGGAAAAAATCATGAAATGATAAAAGATATGTCCCCTATCAAGCATTTCAAGTCAAATCTTTGCTTTTAACTCCCACATATATATTAGTTATTACACTATTACTAAGGCTCAGTGACAGTCTATCGATTAACTATGCCTCAATACCAAAATGGTAGGATAGGCTATAAGTCCTCTATTTTCCATTCTGCTCTATTAAAGTCCATTTCGCTCATTAAATGATACACCTGGATGCAGATGTAACTCATGCCTCGGAGAGTGCGACCAAATACATTTATTAATACAAAAATCCATCATAATCTGCCTATTTTTACAGTTAACTTCAACCTACCACAACTCTTCTACTCTCTGGGACCTGACACTAGTTATGCTAAGTTCAAAAAGGTCTATCGACATGGGTGGAGTTGCTCACTGGACAGTCTAGTTTACATTAAATAAGCAAATGCATGAAATACACAGACACATGTCAGTCTTTAAACAAACTAGAAGTAAATTGATGCTTACAGATTGTTCAACTATTGGAATAAGAGACTGCAACACCTTAGCCACATTGAACTTGATATTCGGTACCCTGGAACATGCAAGTATTAGACCTGTAAGCTTAAAATTACCCAACAAAATGGTAAAGCATAAATAAACTGAAGATTAACCTGTCTTTTGAAGCAGTAATAATAACTGGCAGAAGTTTGGAACAAGTAATTTCTGAGCCCATTACAGGGGCAAGAAGAGAAATTGCATGAAGGATTGTCATCCGGTAAAGATAATGTGGGTCATTAATCATATCCAACACCTGAAAAATGAATCCGTCAAGTTATCGAAAGAGGAAAACCTAAGACCTCCCACCCGCCACAAAAGAAATGCAAAAGATTCCACTAGTTGAACTTGAATTTAAATAATGTCCACTAATATTTATTTATTCTGGAACATCATCCCGTAATTTATTGATTCTGGACAAGATATTCCACATATCACGACTCATCACAGGCCAAGAGAGAATCTCTTTGTAATCAGTGATAAACCATGTAAGGAAAATAACACTACTAAATTCTTTTTTCCTTAAACAAATTCAAGAGAAGAAACTGCTAAAGTATTACATCAGCAAAATATCAACCAGCTTATTCAAGGCAACAAGAAAACCTGTGGAATTATATGCTCCATTGCCCATGTTGGACCAAACTCCTCAGCAAGGCGCTTAACATTGTTTGCTGCTGCATCTCTAATAGAGTAAACCTGCAAGTTGAAGAATGATAATAAGAAAGACATAAAAGAGGAATACAAGAACATTGCAAAGAATTGCACAACATGATGTAATTGGTCTCATTATGAGTACCCTAAAAGAAGTCAGGATAGATGGCAATAAATGATATTCAAGATACTAAGTGACCATGACAAGAAGAAGCATCAGATATGACTTCTAAAAGGTAGAATTAAGACCAAAGAATCAGGAAAAAAGAGTTTCAGCAGAAATGTTCTGTCGGTATAAGCAAGTGACGTAAAATATGGACTATCCCTGAGTAAGCAAGTTCCATGTCTTGACTGAACAGAATTAAATCCTCAATCGAGACACCAAGAAATGGTATGAGTTCATATTATGTGGCATGCTATCCATAATGGCTTTCCATCCATGTGTGGAGCGTCTAATATGGACACCACATCAAAACTCTTTGAGCCACGGCAGTCAATATAGTAACTTCTTAAAAAAATGTCATGCAATATAGCTCCTTGCAACTTTACATCATTAATGCGTCTCTGGTTGTCAGGATATGCCTATTATGTGACCATTCCCAGTGACATGCTGACTGCTTTTCTCCAAAACAGATACTGCTCCCAGCTGCTTCCTAGAAATACAAGTCTCTTAATGCTAAAGTGGATCTTAACTGCTAAATAGAGTCCCGAGATACTTATTGTAGAAATAAGATTTTTGTAGGTAAATATTGAAACAAAGAAGTAGTTTAATCAAACTAGCACCAACCAGGTGCCATCATTTACCAGTTCTTAACTATGTATTCTTAACTCATTCAAACTATATCAAAGAGCCATCTCGTGTTCCATCTCCCTAACTCAAAAGGTCTCATTTTTCCAAAACAGGCATTTAGAGATAACAGACCATAGTAATTTTTTATGCCTTTACACCATAAAACAGGCATTTTGATCATAGTCACTTTATCCAGACACAAACTAGAATGTTCGCAGTTCTTTCTGTCTAAAGCATCAGTAGGCATAACAAGCAACAGAAAGCTCCACAGAAACCTTGTCTTTTAGCCATTGCATGCACAGAGCACCGAGCTTGTCATCAAAAAAGCCGACCCCCAGCTGACTTGCCAATAGAGGTATGTACTCAATTATTGCAAGCCGAACCCTCCAGTGTCTATCCTCTGCAAGTTCAACAATAGCTGGCAGCAGGGATTGGGAGAGCAAATCAATTCCAATCACCTGCAATTAATTGTAATTTAATTTCATATAGAAGAACATGAAAAACAGGATATAGGTTGGTAGGTTCAGAAGACATCAAGGCTCAAATTAGGCAAAGTAACTTCAAGTACAGAGCGATAATATTGAATTGTAGCTAACCTGGTTTACTTGATCAAGCTTACTGATAATATTCAAACGAACATCAGGAAACTCATCCTTCAGAAGAGAGAGGAAAATTGGGAGAAGCTGCTCTATAGTTGCATCCTATAGTAACCAGTATGGAAACATTAAACTCCTGTTAGAGATATCATTGACTAAAAATTGGAAAAGCTGCAAAGAAAGTAGTGTGTTCCAAAAAAGGTATTATTTTGGGTTCAAAACAAGAATGAGAACAATATTATAATTGACATCATCGAAGTAAAAAGAAACAAAAAGCCATAATGGCTGCAAGACCGAGGAAAAAATTCTTCAGGATAAGCTGCTAACAAGTGCCTACACAGTAATCGATAACATACTGCTAAAATCTGTTTTCAACTTTGGATTCAAGAAAAGGTAAGAAAAGTTAAAGAAGGAATAAGCAGACAACAGGAAGATTCTAACGAAGCAAAAGGGAATCAGAAGCTGAACTTTACTGTACCACTATAGACCATAACCAGAGAGCAGAATGCAGTGATGAAGTCACAAGGTATTTATACCTTTCCGAGAATAGGCGCCATTCCCATGATAACTGAAGCCAAAGCAGAACGGACATGTTGGGATGAATCTGATGATAGCTCCTATGAAAAAGAATGTAATTTTGGTAAAAAACCATTAAGTGATCATTTAATGATTGATACTTGATAGATGATCTAAGAAAGGGAATCACACAAGGAGACATTCTCTGGAGAAACCAAAAGATAGAAATTCGAGACAGTAAAATAGGAAAAGGAACTTCATAAAGTTTCTACCTTTACGCAAGGAAGGATATGCTGGATAGCAAGCTCAGGGCTCAAAATACGGCAGAACTTAGTCACCTTGCCAGCAGCAGCTATACGCACTTCAGCCTCATTGTCACGAAGTAGCCGAACATAGGCAGGGACCAAGTCCGTCCTGATGAATTTTATGATGGTCATGAATTAGTCATAAGGGAGAAAACTTGATAGAAAAGCAAAAATAGGAAAAGAAAAAGATATCCTTATGGTGAAGAAAATTTCTGCAATATTGAGATTCCCAGCATTTTCAGTTCAGTGCATGAAAAAGAAATAAATAAAAGATTTAGGCAATGAAATACAACATACTTCAATTGAAAAGAAAGGTTGAAGGGAAAGAAAAGTACATCATAACACAGATTACAGAACATGAGAAATGCACATATCACAAATAATTACCTGGTAGCCTCTGGTCCAACTGCCTCACAAAGTTCATAAAGTTGATTTGCAACCATGTAACGAACACGCCAAGACTTATCCTGTTCAAATGGATAAAGAGGTAATTAATCAGTCACTACATCCAGTAAGCCATTTTAAACTGGCAAAGAAGCAGTATTTGGTTAAATGAAAATACTGACGAAGTAAGCAAAAGAACCAAATTCCAGAAATGAAAAAGAAAAGAAACAGAGTAGTTATATCATCAATGTCATTTGTTGGAATTCACTTGAGACTGAGAACAAAACGATGACTAAAGCCCCGCCAACATCCACGATTATGTCAGGGAAAAGAATGGCAAAAAGGAAACTCCAATTTATAATATCACTCAGGGCCTTTACAATCTCAAGGATAATACATCCTTAGGCACTTATCCTCTTTTACAATCTCAAAGCCTGCAACATTTTGCATTCTTTCAATCTATTTCATGAACTGGGGAAAACCCTTTTCTTAAAATCAGGAATGAACAGAGGAAAAACTTATTTCAGCTCATAAAGGAGAAAAAAAGGTTTTACTGAAAAATTTTCAGCCTATGCATCCATATGCATATACTATCAGCTCACAATAACAGTTTAATTTAACTATAGTGGGGGGGAAATATCGAACAGAAAAACAACTCCCAGAACAATCGCCTAGTACCTCGTCAAGCTAAAAGAGGTAAGGACTGAGCATAGACGAGATACAATGGTGATGTTACTATAAGATATCCAGAAATGTCATATGGCAGAAATCTATATAAAACTGCATTTGCATGCAAAAAAGATCTCATTAAAGTAAAGCTTGGTGGACCAACCTGAGCAAAATTAACTATGACGGGCAGAATTTGTGCAACACAATCTTTGGGCTCCAACAGCTTCCCCAAAGCTGCACAATCTTCAACAGCCAATAAACGGACAGAATCTTGATCTGAATAGAACCAATTCCTCCTTAGTCACACTGATATGAATTGAATAAACTAAATAGAGCTCAACATTAACATCTGCAAACTATTAGCTGCTAATAGAATCTTTGTAAGGTCAGCAGAAAGCAAACTAATGTTAGAAAAAGCACATATCAGGCAAGTCCTTGACAAATAAAAATTGATCAGGCTTTTGGAATTTTTTCTACAAAAGGGGAGGGAAGAAAAAGAAAGAAGAGGGTGAAACTTCCACAATGGCACATGGCCCGGGTACAACAACAGATTTAGACATGAATCAATTACGGATAGCTTCAACCTTCAGCAAGTTATAATGTATTCTGAATGATCCATATGAAGTACCCCCCACACTCATGATACTGATGCATTAAGGCAAAATGAACAGTCCAAGTAATATAGTCTATGATAGTTTTTCCTCTATCTCAGATGAATGTATGCACTCAAATCTAATCCTCATATATTCTTTAGGCTACTCTTAACTTTTCATTACTATGGAAAGGGAACAAGAAAGGATCCTTGAGGATTTGCGACGAATTCTTTATACCTAGATCATGTACAACTTATCTCAACCCAAAAAAAAAAAAAAAAGTCCGGGGCTTTTTGATAAAAGTAAGGGTTAATTTATTATGATAATAGAGCACCAAAAGACTGTTGTCTTTAAGGTGACTTTCACCTTTTTGCATACTCATTGTACTACTGGACAAAGACAGCTGTATCACTACTAATTTTTTATCATTCTCTCCAATAGCTCTCTCATACCTAAATACTACGTTATGAGCTATGCTCCTACGAGTAACAGAACATGAAAAAGTATAATAAAACTCAACTGTTATTTGCTCAGACAGCATATTAAGCAGGCCAATTGCTAGGACCAATTCTCAGGACAAACTACAAAGCAAACCCACCTTGGAAATACTCATTCCAGAAAAATTCTAATTTATACTAGTTATCCCCAAACACTATGTTATCCTAAAAAGAACCATTAAGAGCCACACAGAATTAACAGGAGATGCTCATTCTTTAAGGACTCCAGGATCAAGAAAGGATTTTGCTCTAAAACAGAGACCACTTTCAGAAAGCAAATGACGCCATTCAAAAGAAAAGATAAAATACGTGCACAAAATGAGAACACCATACCATCCTGGGTCAGGGTTTCAAACATTGACATGATGTCAGTCTTCAAATGGGGTTGTTCAATAGTAGCAGCAAACTTTCCAAGATTTGTAGCAGCTGCTCTCCTCACCATAGGCATATCATCTTGGCAAAGTTGGCTATAGATGGTCCTTAGTTCGTTCTTTAATGGCTCTGGAGCACTAGGATAGGCAATGTGAAACAATCCACAGGACGAAACTCGAGCAGTAAACCACTCTCCAGCAGCCAGTCTCTGTTATAAGAAACCAGGAAGATGTTACGCTACGTCTCAAAAGGATCAATTTTGAAGGATCACGTCTACTATACAAGTATTGGGCTATATCAAATTGCACAATTAACTCATCAACCAATAAAGAGACTAGCATAATAAACACAAGTAACAATACTCTAGCTTGGATTTTCCTTATATTTTGGGTGTCCCAAGATCTAAAAGATACACACACACAATATTTTGTTAAGTGATATCTTCAAAAAATACATAAGCACTCCCGTTTACGTGACCCTTGAGGAAACTTTTTACAACTGTGATATTATCTATTCCCAGTATTAACATTTACATCAAGTAAAATGCATTGTAGTTTTGATCCTATGCACTATCCTCCCCCTCATAACCAATTCAAATTATTTTAACGGAGAGTACATTCGAAATACAGTAACCAATTAAAGCTTTTGCTCGGATTCTGCACCCCATCAGAGTAGGATACCCTGAAGGAAGCATCTTCAGAAATTCAAACGATCCTATGCACTTCATCATAACCAATTCAAATTATTTTAACGGAAAGTGCATTCTAAATACAGTAACCAATTAAAGCTTTTGCTCAGATTCTGCACCGCATCAGAGTAGGATACCCTGAAGGAAGCATCTTCAGAATTCAAACCATTATTCACACAATCTTTCCTGCTGACTCATGTAATAGACCGTGACACTTTCTTTCTTATGTCTTTGCAACCGTCAACGTGTGGCAGAACATGAAAAACTGAGAACAAAGTTCGATCAGCATTTGTCTAGGCATCCACAGACTAGCCATAGAACATTTGTGTATGTATTTTTTATACTAACTGAGATCAGCAGCTAACATATTGAAGTTGCAGCAGACTTAATATAAGGTCTCAAGCACTCAATACCAACCCCCCAAAAAAGGGAGAAAAAGGAATAACACAATTTTACAGCAGGCTGACCTATGCTAGAAGATAAAAGTGGCAAATTTTAGATACACAGAGCAACAAAGTGGAGCAGCATTTTGAAGATTTTAAGACAATAGATGAACCTTCACAAGTGGAATAAATGATTCCACCAAGTCTGATTCCCTCATTTGAGACCCAATTCTGCATAATGACTCAACTGCCTTTTCCCTAACACAAGTCTCTTCAACACTACAAAGACCTTCCAAGGGTGGAAGCAATACACTCGCATGTTCAACCCCTCCAACGTATGGAATAAACACCCCCAACTCTTCGGCCATTGCAAGAAGAACTTCATCATCGTCATCGTTGTTCTCGCTTAGAAATGGAATCAACTCTTTCCGAGTTCTCTCCTCACCAAGAGCACGAGCAATGGTAGACAAGCGCCGGATTGAATTCAATCTAAGCTGGATGTCTTCATTCTTCAACTCATCAATCAAAACCGCAATGGGATACAATGGCTCATCAACCATTGACATGGCTTCTTGCAATGTGGAAATATTTGTCTATATATATTCACGAAAACTCAAAATACTTAAAAAGTACAAGAATAATAGATATTTTAAAGGATCGTTAGCTCGAGTTTCATTCTTTTATTAAAGAAGGCAATTAGTTATTGACTTATAACTAAAAAGGTTCTCTTCTTAATTGCCAAAATAGAATCTTTTGGAGTTAAAAATAAGAAGACTCAATTTTCATTAAGCAAATCAAAGTGGAGCGGCCATTAATTTAACAAATCTTACTCATATACAAATTGAAGACATGAAAGATTTGCATGAAGAATGAAGTGATCTGATCAAAATAACTAACTACAATTACTAGAGAAATTAACTACGACATTAGAATGGAAAACAGAGTTCCTTCCGTCACATTACTGATCTTTCACATTTTCCACTCTAAATCAATGATCCAGAAAGTATCTTGTAATTTATGCACGTATTCAAGAAGCAGTTTTCAAAAATTAAATTAAAACAGACTCCGATTATAAAAAAAATGACGAAGCGTATACCTGAAGTTAACATATTATAAGTAATTATATGGTGAAGTTTATAAAAGACGAATTGAGAGAATACTTGAACCTTAAGATACAGAAAATAGGGAAAGAAGGTTCTAGAAAACCAAAATATCGAAGCCGAGGCATCTAAACGGTATTCTCTGAGTGTGTGTGTGAGAGAGAGAGAGATTCGTACCGGGGAAGCAATCAAAGGAATTAGAGTAGCGGAAGTTTGATCAGAAGATTGATCTGTAGTCGGAGAAGATGGGAAGGATCTGCTAATTCCGGTGCTTTTTGTGGCATTATTTCCACTTTTTATATTTTTTATTTTTCCCTTTTTTTCTTTTCTAACTTCCTGTTTATTTTTCTTTTTCATTTAACCTTTTTATCATTCAGTTAAGTACTGAAAAAAAATCATGTTATTCGTAGGGGTGTGCATTCGATTTATCGATTCGATTTTGACCCTTATCGATAATTACTTATCGATTATCGATTTGTACATATGCTTATCGTTATCGTTTCAATAAGGTTTCGATTTTTTCGATTTCGATTTATCGATTTTGGGGGCTTATCGATTCGGTTATCGATTACACCAATAAGAAAATTTGCGGGATTCCACAGAAAGTATATCGCTATAAACGCGCCTAACTAATATGGACAAAAAGAAGCTAAAATAAGACGAACACCATTTATAATATAAAAATTGTGTCAACAAGCACATGCAACAAAACTAAAGTAAGGGATCAAATATATGCCACCAACACTCCAACGGTATAAACAAAACAAAACAAAACAAAACGCATCATCACGGCTAATTCTGTTTTCCATTAATTTGAACTTCATTCCCTTGATCTTTAAATATGATCATTCCTTAAATGTGGTAGAGGAAATAATAGGGTAAGGGACTTAAGATAAAGAAAAGGGTATAGATTAGGGAAAATAATATTGTATAGCCGCTTTCAAATAGTAGCGGAATATATATACATTATGTATGCTATATTAATCTACACAAATAGGTAATTACTCATTTAACAAGTGTCTACAGTCTAGGGGTGTGCATTCGATTTATCGATTCGATTTTGACCCTTATCGATAATTACTTATCGATTATCGATTTGTACATATGCTTATCGTTATCGTTTCAATAAAGTTTCGATTTTTTCGATTTCGATTTCGATAACAAATAATCGATTCGATTTATCGATAAACCGATTCGAATGCACACCCCTAGATTCGTAGAATAATAATGTTCTTCTTATAAATAAAGAAAAAAAAAACTGAAAATTCCCAGCTACTAAATTACTACTCCACTAATTACTAAAGGCCCAATTAAAAGAAGAAAAAAAAGAGGAAAACAAACACCGACACACGAGGAACCAAATTCATGTAGTATAGGTAATTATATTTCGACTTCGTTGCCAATTAACATAATCACAGAATAATAAGCATCATGTTAGGTTCACATTGTTGCTTTTAGTATTTTCTTTCTTCTCTTATGAGAAATTAAAATTCATTCAAATATTTTTCCAACCTTGCTCTTCGGCTAATGTTAATTCAATCATCTTTTTTTAGATTAGGAAATTAAACCTCGCTCCAGTACAATAGCTCATAAATTATATTGAAAAGATAAATTGTGCGAGGCAAATCTCGTGCGACGAACTCGACCGAGAAGCATGCAGGGTATTTATTACCTTTTCTCAAGCTCTTTTCCACATCTTATTTGTTATACAAAAATAAGAAGACCAAAATGGCCAACAAACACATTTAGAGGATGAAGGGCAAAAAGAATTATCAAATGTTTCTTGGAGAAAACAGTGAGTGCTATACAACAAATTTTCCTCATTCCATTTCGTTTTATTCGAGTACTGATGATAGGCTATAATTGCATATTTTAGTCGCTTATTACACTCGAATTTACTGCACTTTAATTGAGTTTGCGCTTTAATCGCTAGTGTTTTGCACTAATTGTGTGTTTTATGCCTTGTAGGTGTGATTCCGAGCTATACAGATGTTATGGAATGAATTTAAGTGATTTGAAGCTTTGAAGTTTGAGTAAAAGCTCAAGGAATTAAGCCGGGATCGTGTTCGGGGGTCAAATTTGATAATTAAGTACGAACAAAGACTTGAGGAGGCATATTGCGCACTGTCTAGTAAAACAGACATAACTTTTTTCTCAGAACTCCATTTGGGCTCCACAATATATGGTTGGAAAGCTAACTCAAAGGGCTACAACTTTCATGTTTTACGTTTTTCCAAATTCCAAACATAACAGGGTGAAAAACCGCGGTTCCACCGCGACCGCGGCAGAACCGCGGTAGAAGATGGTCGCGGACAACTGAAGAATCAGAGGGTAGGCGGAAATTTCAGGGACTTATGTGCAAAACACGGGATTTTAAGCCCTAAACCCTATATTAAACCAAGGAAGCCGGCCAAGAAAGAGGAGGGGACATATTTTGGACACAAATTAGACCTAAGGAGGCGGAGAGACACTACTTTAGGGTTAGATAACACCCTTGAAGGGAGAACACATTGGGAGCAAGGCGGAGAATTCTTCTACGAGTTTTTTCCTTCCTCTTCCTATTTTTCATTGTTAGTTATGACTTTTAGTATTGTAGTTTTACATACTATTATGAATAGCTAATTTGTTATCTAGAGTTTTGATAGAACCTTTTGTAGGATAAATTCTTGTTATGTTTTTATATAATTGAGCCATAGCTTTTCTCTATTTGTTCAACTACGTTTATATTGTGGTTGGTTGAAGAGCTCTCAATTAGCTGTGCCTATTTAGTATGCATATACTCGGGAGAGAGTGCATATTTAGGTAATTGTTGAACAACACCACTCCCAGAGTATATGAGGGACCAATAACCGAGGGTTTAAAGGCGGGATTAGGGATAACGAAGCCTTGGGTGCGATCTGAAGTGAGCTGTATTAAAAACCAGCTAGCGTAGCTCGGGAGAGTGCGTCTAGTAAATTGTCGTAATTATTCGGGAGAGATTTACGGTAATATGAGTGCTCATGATCGGTAGAGAATACTTAGGCGAAATTATAGAAGACATAGCGGGAAGGATTCCGACAATTGGGGAAATCATAACTCTAGACCTCCTTAATCTTTTCTCTAACCCTCAGTATCGTTAGTTGTTAATTTACTATTTTAATTTGTTAGTTAAGTAGTTAAACACAAGAATCTTAATATCTATAAGTTAGGAATTGTTCAAGCTTGTCTTCTTGGTGATAGTGAACAGCTGTAGCTAAACCTTAGTTCTCTGTGGGATTCGACTCCGGACTTGTAAACCGGATTATATTTGCAGCGACCGCATTGTGCTTTTTATAAGGCATAGTTGGGCGTGATCAAGTACGTTCAGTTTGTTGTACATCTTTTTTTTATTGTTAGATTTGAAAATGACATTCGTTTATTTATTAATTTTGGAGAAACCCAAGATAGCGATATGCAAGAAATTGAAGCACAAAATCATGTATATTCCCATTTGTATTCCTTGAAAAGTCATTTTTATTTTAAGGTATGAGTTTTAACTGTAAAAGTGAGGTTCTTTTGTTCCTTATGATCATCTATTAATAAGCTGCCATTTTTCAGCATTAACAGACGCAAAGTACTATCCCTTAACATTTCTATTTATCTCGCGTGAATATGATAAAAATTTACTCACATCTTATATTTACATCAAATTATATTCATTTATTAAAGTTAAGTGATAAGTTCAGGTGCAAATGCATATTATAAGGTAACAATTGTTTGGTGACAACAGTATAGATGAAGTCGTGAAGATGCATATTATGTATTAATTAAGTTAGTTTAAACTTTAAACACCGATTATTACTAGTAAGATTTTTTCCATTAATAGTGTTGCAAGAAATTTTAACTCTTTGTTGTGCATTAAAAAAATCATATGCTTTGTACATCCATTGTCAACGGTACCATATGCGAATGGACAAATAATGTTGCTTAACTTAAAAAGATGAAAGCGAAGTCTGCACTTTATGATACTTGACCAAGAAACCTAAGTTAACGTTAATTTGATCCCACGGACGTGGGACAACTCAACACCCTCCTTCACGATCAGGCCTGCAAACTAGAGCATGGATTAGGGGTGTGCATTCGATTTATCGATTCGATTTTGACAATTATCGATAATTACTTATCGATTATTGATTTGTACATATGCTTATCGTTATCGTTTCAATAAGGTTTCGATTTTTTCGATTTCGATTTATCGATTTTTGGGGCTTATCGATTCAGTTATCGATTACACCAATAAGAAATTTTGCGGGATTCCACGGAAAGTATATCCCTATAAACACGCCTAACTAATGTGGACAAAAAGAAGCTAAATAAGACGAACACCGTTTATAACATAAAAATTGTGTCAACAAGCACATGCAACGAAACTAAAGTAAGGGATCAAATGTATGCCACCAACACTCCAACGGTATTAAAAAAAAAATACATCATCGCGGCTAATTCTGTTTTCCATTAATTTGAACTTCATTCCCTTGAGTTTTAAATATGATCATTCCTTAAATGTGGTAGAGGAAATAATAGGGTTAGGGACTTAGGGTAAAGGAAAGGGATTATAAAATAAGGGTAAAAAAAAAATTGTTGTCTTTTTAGTATATCTTATCGGTTTATCGATAAACCGATAACCGAAGAGGGCAAAATCGAAACCGAAATCGATAACTCGATAAGGAAAATTTCGAAATCGAAATCGAAATCGATAAACCGATAACCAATAATCGATTCGATTTATCGATAAACCGATTCGAATGCACACCCCTAGCATGGACAACATGAATGGGCCCCAACATTGGTAATAATAATAGGGATGGGTCTGGCTTTGGGGAGAAATTAAAAAATAGCCAGATTTACAAGTGGTCATTCAAAAATAGCCACAGTTCCAAAAGTAATCGAAATTTAGCCACTTTTCATGTAAAGATAAATCTGAACGAAAATACTGTCCAAAATCCGGAAAAATACTCCAGTATAATATATCAGTCCAGCATAATATACTGGAACTTTCCTTGTTGCAGCAAAATAATAGCATACCACACTACTGGAAAATTCACCTATGGCTACGCAGGGAAAACCGTTCCAATAGGAAAGCCCATCGTTGCCATAGATGTACTGCTACGGTTCAGCGCCCGTTCCACGAGCTGCCGTGGCTATAGAGTTTATGGAACGGTTTTTGGAACGGTTCCAGTAACCGTTGCTATAGCATAGTCTATCGTTACGTTTTCCCTCCTCCTGTTGGAACGATTATTCTTATCAATTGCAACGGTTAATAACCGTTACCGTAAA